TTTTAAATTTAAGAGGAAACAAATTAATCTAAAATAGAATAATATTAAATGTATAATATTAAATAATTTAATCATATATGATAATTATAATAATACTATTAGTTTATAATAATATTAGTTAAAATATATTACTCTACTATTTATATTATATTAATATTTACATCGTATTTAATAATGCATTAGAAAGAATGCATTTATTTATTTTTTTTTTTTTTTAATATTTTCATTTACTTTCGTAATATCAATTTATATAATAAGCTTGCATGAATCGCCGACGAGATTCACAAATATTTAATAAATTATCTGAAATACGTTTCTCATCAGCCACGTTTCACTGTACTCGACGACCAGTTCTTTCACATGGTTGGATATTTTTATTAACGATCGTGCGATCACTCGACAAGACTCATCCTCTCGTTCGACGCTTCGTGCTTCGTTTGCACGCAACACGATAGATAACCGTTATTAAAAAAGGATACGATGATGAGGGATTTGTTTTCTTCTTATAATACCTTCTTTTATCTTTTTCTTTGTTTACATTGAAAATGGCTATAAAGGAAAATCGTCTCCATACATTTGTATAATATAATTGTTATTATTAATTGGCATTAGAAACTCAAAAGTTCATTGCCGCAAATACTCAATTTTGTATAATAATAATAATAATAATAATAATATTTATCTCTTAACAAAGTCAGAAGGTTAACGACGACGATTTAAGCCGTAAATTCCATTTTATTTATACTCTATAAGAACGTTTAATATTCATGGGGAAACGTTGCTCTCCTCTTGAGAACGATTTGGTAAGGTAGTGGACGATAGAGAACGCTCCAAACGATTTTCCCGATTGTGAACAATTCAATTAGGGATCCTCTTCATTCAAGTTATACCTTTACCACAAATAACCGACTATTATTTCATTAGTAGATCTTACAATTAATTATTATCATTTTATTGACGACAAAGATGTTACAAACCATTTAAAACATTGTAACAATTCCAAATATTCTCACTATGAAATTGTCCTTAATTTATAATTAAACAATAATGCAACGTGTATATTACGATTAATTCTTTGAAGCACAGGATTCAGATAATAAAATAGCCATATGTTGCAGAGAAATTTTATTGCATTTTAAATGAAACAAAATTGGTATATTTTTATTAATAGAGGTATTACATAAAACAAAAGTATAATGATTTAATTAAATTTGTAATATTTGTTGAAAATATTACTACCAACTGTTGTACGTAAATAAGATGAAATATAAATTTATGAGCAGTGCAATTATTGCAATATTTCGTAATGTGACTAAAAATGTATCACCGTGTATTATGGCGCATCAAAAAGGTGGGACACTCTTAATCCCATCGTGCCCTAAAAAATTAAATAAGAATTGTATATATTTTTTATAGATAATAATATTTTATTTCATAATTATTTAGAAATCTTTCATATAAAAAAATAATACGAACTAAGTAAAATAAATATTTGTTAAAATATTGCAATATGATTAATCTAATTATTATTATTATTTTATTGTAATTTAATCTAGATCAAAAATATATGTTTAATATTATCAATATTATAATTGCAAAATTACAAAATGAATTCATTTCATTAAGTAGTATAAAGTCCGTCAGGCTGGATAGATAGCACATACTGTTCGTTGAAATCCAGCTATTGATCGTTGTCGCGAACGATAGACACGCGAGAGAGAGAGACAGAGGGATAGAGAGAAAGAGATAGAGAGAGAGAGAGAGAACGATCGTTTGCATTACAGGAAGTCGAGTCGGTAAGAGTTTAAAGGATTTATGGTTAATGAGGAAGCGAGAAGATGAACGAAACTATGGTTGGTAAAAATTCGTGAAATTAAGTGGAAGGTTGGTTGGTGGGTTGTGGTTGAAAGAATCGAAAGGTTCTCATTTAAAAAAAAAGAAAAAAAAAGAAAGGAACTGGGGAAAACGGCTAAATAAGCGTCTGGTTTGCTGTTACTCGTCGATATGCGTCGTTGCGTTGGGAAATGAGGAAACTGGAATGACGAATAAGGTAATGTGGACGATGTGGGAAGAAGGGAAAGAGAAGGGGAGGCACGGCTTTGGGTAATTAATGTAAAAAAGAGAAAGTTAAGTAAGAGAAAGAGATAGCCGAAGGACTGTAGAGAACGATAAAAAGGCAGTAAGAGAAGGATGGGGGGACTGTATGTGTATGTATGTATATGTGTGTAAGAGAGAGAGAGAGAGAGGAGGGGGCAGAGGGTAGAAATGAAAGAATGAAAATTGAAATGGAAGAAGGATAGAACAAAAACGCAACCCTCTCCATTTTTATGATTCGCTCTTGGTAAACTTCTTTTATTTTTTTAAATGCGGCGCGAACAAAAATATTCACCATGAGAAACGTCATTGAACTGTCTCCGTTGTCCTTCGCGTTTTCTCGAAATCGCTCTTGATTTTCATTATTTCATTCCTTTTTTTTTTTGTTTTATTGTCTAATACGCTTCGTAAAGTTCCTCAATTTTAAGTACGCGAATTATTCGTATCGTGAGAGTTTTATTTTTTACTTCTTCTTTTTTCTAACACATTAGAAAACCTATATATTGGCTTAGAAAATCCAGCATAATATTAAAAATAACAATAAATAAATTTATCAGTTATTTCACACCACATTATTTGAAAATAAATAAATTTAATAAAATTTTTACGATATTGTCAAAAATAAATTGTCAGATAGTGTTTGTTATTTTAATATTATATATAAAATTCATTTAATGTTCAAATTTAATTCTTTAAATATCTCAAAACAAGAGAAATATGACTACTTATAATTAGGGACCTATTTATGCAATAAAATAATTATGAAAATTGAAAAAAAAAAAAAGAAACAAAATATATTATATCTCTCGTCGGTGTGTATACAGTCTGTCAATACCGTAAAGAAAAAAAATCCTACCTTTTCTCATTTTTAATTTTAAAATGTAATATGCTTTGTCTTTAAAAATTAAATAACGTTTAGTTTAAAACGCTCGTTCGACTTAAAACTTTAATAACGTAACCAAATTAATTTTCTAACCACGTATAAAAACAAATGTACTCGCACTTAAATAGAAGGGATCACTTGTCGCGTATATTAAAAAAGAAATTCCCATATCAAATTCATGCATCGTACATGTAAATATCGACAAACGAGCGTATATGTATAATACGTAAATGTGTATATGTAATACGTGCCAGTAACAGCACGAAAGAAGAAAGAAAGAAAGGGTGAAAAGATTGAGTGGGGGGCGGGTTTGATGAGGGGGAATGGGAGAGGAGGGAGAAATAATAGAAGAGAATGAAAACGACGTCAACGAGAAGAGACTCGTCCTCTCGAAATATCGTCGAATACGTCGACGTTGTTTGAGGCTTCTCGTCGTGCGAACGTATGGCCGATTGTAGTTCCACGTTAGCCACCACCACCCACCACCCCCTCCTCCTCCTTCCTCTCCCTCTTCTCTACTTCTGTCTTTCTTCTTTTTTCTTCTTCAATCTCGATCCTTTCACTTTTTAACCCAGTTTCCATTGTTGAACCACCACATGCCACTGTCACGCCCGTCGTCGACCATTTGTAATTAGCCTAGCTATCGTCGAAGGAACCTGCATATTCGTCAATTTTCTTCTTTTCCTATTCTGTTCTTTCTCCTCCCCCCCCCTTCCATCTACCTATTTTCTCTTTTGGCACATTTCTCATCGATGATGTCGATCGATGATAAAGAAAAAAAAAAAAAACATTTGTTCCCGCAATTACGTCCGACGGTTTTTTTTAATCAGGTCAATCTAAATGACTGAAAATGGTCGAGTAGTATCATTACTTTCCTCCTTATCACTCTCTCTCTCTCTCTTTTCCCTCTTATTTTACCTTAAAAGTGGGTTTAATGTTTTTTTTTTTAATTATTACCTATTTTTTTTTTTATTTTCAATTTTATTTCATCCAATGAGAAGAGAGAGAGAGAGAGAGAAAAGTGAGACGATGTGTGTCTGTGTGTGTATGTATATATTTATATATAAGATTAATCAATTTCTAATCATCGTTCATCATCATCGCCCATGTTTTATTATAAAATTGAAAATAAGTAAATAACTCGGCCATGTGTTAACAAGTATTAGTGAACGATTTTATCGATGATCGAATAATTTTAATCGACGACTCGATCAACGTTGATTATTACCAAAGAAGATGAGATGAGAAGTTTCTCGTGTTAGTTGGTTTATATGGTTAGACTATTTTACGTCGCATACTTGCACATATGTACAAGTATGGATGAAACTGGAGTCTGACGCGTTTACTGCGAATGATTAATATAAATCCTTGACGCACCTAGAGTGTATTCTCAAAACACCTTCATCGTGTCACGTATTTTATACTCGACATCATTTTATAAGCGTTTTTTATTTTTATATTTTATTTTATTTTATTTTATTTTATACCAAAATAATAATAATCATTTTTAATATCTTATTTTATCATTAATAATGTGACCAGCAAAAAAACTATATTTTACTATGAATTTTCTATTAATAATAATGAACATCTAAGGTTTTTGTATCTACCTTCGCAATTTTTACAAATAACAAAGAATAGTATACTTTAACTTTAAATGCATATATATACAGATAGATGCATATGTAGGTGTGTTTGCTATGTACATAAGTACGGGATAAAAGTAAACGCAAGTATTATAAATAGCGCCCATCGAAAGCTCATCGTGGCTAATAAATAAACAACTCTATAATGAGATGGTAATTAATATCGTACAGCCTCCGGTAAAGTTAAGAACGGACTATCGATCAATAATGCATTTTGTTGTTGAAAAAAAAATATATGAACACAAATTAAAAAGAAAACCCCCACAGTCATCATCTTATCTTTCTCTTACATTCTATCTTACACTCTCTTAAACTTTGTAAAATTATTTCCACGAAATTTTCGATCACTCTATTGCTCATTAAGAAATAAACGTACTAGTTAAGATACTAATAAATAAGGTAATGTTTTAAAGTAAAGAAAGAAGATGAGTTCGATCTTTCATCAAGAGGAACACCGATAATATCCTCGTGGATATTATTCTTCAAACGATTTCGCGAGTTTGCGTTCTTCTCGACTTTCCCCACTCGCGGCCAAGTGTTTTCACTTCTTTACTAGTGTTCCCGGTTAGTGCCGATCCAAACATCGCAGCATAGCAAACTTGACGATCGCGAGAGACTTTTCCTCGATGTTCACAGTGTCAACTTGGAATAATATAAACTTTCAAAGGGAAATTAATTGAAAAATAACGAGAATCTTTTAAGAAGAATAACAATGTGGAAGATAATAAGAACGATTGTTACAATTTGCCTGTTAATGATCGTAATCACTCATGCGAAGCCAACAATTTACAAGAGAAATCAGGACAACGTTTTTGAACCAGGTAAACAAAGTTTGATTGTACGATAATATAATTAAGAAATTAGGACACGAATTTTTTCACATATTAACTTTCTTTTCTTTTATTTTTTTCCTTACGAATCGTCGAAGTTTAAGATGTATGTGGTATGATAAATATTATTTGCTTCAAGTTGATTCGAAGTTACATTTGAAATGTAAATTTGACAACACGGTAATATATTCTTACATTTTTCGCATAATACTAACACGATATTCCTGTGATATCATCATTGAAACATGTAATATTTCGTTCTGAAGAAAAAAAATGACGAGAAGTATTATTTTGCCCGTGTTATTCATTTTTTTTTTTTTTATTTTAATAAACTGAATAAAATATATTTTCTGTTAACGAGAAGGAGACGTTTCTTTTACGGGCCGGTAGTTGTTTAAAAATAGGAGAACGAAATATCGCATGTCCCATATTTCACTGAGAATCATGGACACAAAACATTGAAAATAAATAAAAAAAAAAGAGATAAGATAAGAAAAACAAATGTTTATATTACTCTTTCGAATCGAAATAGGTCTTGACAACTCTCATCTTCAAACTCTTTCTCTTTCTTTTATAAAAAGAAAAAGTTTACCGTAAAAAAGAAAAACTTTCACCTTAATCCTCGTAGAAATTAATTAGCGTATAATAAGTGTCGTTGTATTTTTTATTATACCTCTACCTCTACCTTTCTCTCTCTTTTTTTTTCTCTTTCTCGTTTAACAGTACATCACGGAACGTCAGTCAGTGTCATGTTAAATCCTATGTCATGTTATACCCCTTATTGGTGTTATTAATCACCAATAATGATGGACAGCGAGCTTAACTGAAGTATATACATAACGTTCGTTGCACCTGTTTCCAGAATGAACTTCGTTAATTATTTATAAAAAAAAAATGAAAAAATAAATTTTTAAATATCGATTAAATATGGACCAATCACAAACGTTGGTTCGTATGGAAAATACAACGAAGCGGAGATTTTTTTTTTTTTATAATTTCAAAATAGACAACATTCTCAATAAAAGGCGATCATTGACAGGTGAGAGAATAACGGAACGATGACGTCAGTTTGAAACGCGTGGGTGAGGATTATAAAGAGGCCGTGATCCCGGGTTAGATTGTATTCTTGATTTCTGCGGCACCCAGTCACGATTAACGCGTGTTTCTCTACGTTTACGATCGTTAGTATGAACCAGCAGTATCAGTACTGGCACTGACACCGAAACCAACACCAACATCAACATCAACATCAATACTAATACATCAATATACTAACATCAATACTAATACTAACATTAACAATACGAGCACCATTACCACTGGTAGACCCTTTCCACTTGCTAAACGTTAATACACGTGTTCACCGCATTCACGGGGATATACCCGGCTAATCTCGAAATGCGTCTGCATTTCTCGTGAAACCAAAGTGAGAGACCACCACCAACGGACACTACAGCAAACTCTCCAAAGTCCCGAGTCTAATTGAGACTCGTGGTCTAACCCAAACCTAGCTAGACGAGACTGTTTTATAACATTTATATGTATGCTCTCAATATATATGTATGTATGTGTGTGTGTGTGTATGTGGATGTACATATATATTTATCTACACACAATAAACATACATATATATTTTAACACCCTTCCTCTCACAATCTCTCTCTCTTTCTCTCTTCATCATTTTTTCATTTTGACGATGCGACTTCTTTTATATCACACCTCTCAACACGCGTGTGTGTGTATATGTTTTTAACACGTCAGGGATAATCGCGACATGGCTGAAGAGTCAAACGTCGAACGAACTCACTATGTAAACTTATGACATAAAACTACATAGAAAGTGATGTGACATTAATTTTTGTTTGTGTTGGTACAAGCTTTAAAAAGAAAATATATTTATATACACATACATATATACATACACACATACACATGGTATACATTTATGTAAATATGTAGACATATTAAATCTCAAAAAATCTCGATAAAAGCTACGTAACATTGCGTTTAATATTCATATAAGAGATATTCAGTATTTCAGTAATAAAATGTCGTTTGACCGGTCTAAACTTATTTACCTAAAACTTCAAAATTTAATATACTCGCGATCTATATCTCTTTTATGTTAATTCAATAGTATCTCGTATACTATTTAATTCTATCGTAATCCATATGCAACAACTTTCCCTATCAATCTACTATATATTTTTATATATATAATATATATCTTTTTCCTTGGTATTCAAGGCAGAAAAGTGATCTCGGTGAATCGATGCTTGTAATAAAATATCTCTTGTTACCGGAGACGAAAGTATTGAATTTAGAGGCATCCACCTACGTAGAAGAGCTTTAAGACGACAGAAGGAAGTCGATAGCTCGTCCTTGGTTACTACTGTGGAATGAGGACATGGAAAAGGGGAAGGAGAGATCTGATTAGATATGTGGAAAGTGTGAGAGAGAGAAAGAGAAAGGAAGAGAGAGAGAAAGAGAGAGGAAGAGAGAAAGAGCATGATGCATCACCTTTAGTAATCAAATGTGCTCTGTCACAAAGTGCAAGTATTACGTCAACTAACAATATTAATCCCTTAAAGCTTAAATTGTTAAAGTTTCGAATGTTTAGTTAGAAACTTTGATCTTTTTCGTTGTAACTACAAAAGTGAATCAAATGAAAAAGAGAAAGAGAGAGAGAGAGAGAGAGTGTATGAGAAAGAAGAACTTTTTATTAGAAAGACTTACAATTGTTTGACGTGTTTTAATAAAGTCGGAATAGAAAGACGTTAGACAATAAGAGATTCTTAGTACTTCGAAAGTTAATACCGTCTTCGTGGGATTTTTCTAGTAAAAAGGAAATTGCTTCGTCGGTTATAACATAGTTCGGATATTTGTAAAAAAAACCGATAACGTAAAATTGAACTTGTCTGTATCCTAGTTTTCTGGGAGTAGTATTCAAATATTGTTTATTATATAATACATTATATTATAATTTTATATTTAATATATTTTTTATATTATATTTATTGCAATATTTTATTTAAATTTTATATTTGTATTATAATCTAAAATGATAAAAATATAATCTGTATGGATTTAATAAAGCATATAATATGTACATAATCTGTGTGTGTGTGTGTGTGTGTGTGTGTGAAATATTATAATATGATTAAAATACGTATATTACTATTATTATATGGATCGATGTATATGTAAAATATTTTTAGTTACTTGTAAATCTTGAAATAACATCCGCAGTTCATGGAGATCAACGACGACTAACAGCTTTGTATAAATTATCCCTTTATTATGCGTTGATTATAAACACAGATGCAATACACCTAACAAGATCCATCATGTTCATCACGTATCGAACAAATTTCGAATCGAACTTAACGATTTGTGAAGTATTTATTTAACAAATTTTTTTATTTACACCTATCGATAGTTACGTTTCATTTGTTTATTAATTGATATATGTAATAATGATTTGTTTCAGTAATGATACCCGTGTCTTCTACCGTGATCCCTATACCAGTTTATAAGGTTGAATATGGATTAGGTTTTATATCCAAGGATAAAAAAGCTCAATCTTCGTTCAAACCGGATGGCACCGTTAAATTAATCACGAGTAACTAGTTATTTAAATAAATAATTAATTTTATATTCTTTAAATGAGTTTTTATTAAAATATTTTTTTATTTTCAGTTAAAAAAAGTCAAGAAAAAAAAATTTAAATGGATCAATTCGTATGATAAATATAAATGATTTGTGAAGATAAATATCTTAAATAATTTAGGAAGCTTAATATTTTAATTCCGCATAATCTCTAACATAAGGATTAAATGCTTCACACCAAAAATTAATTTATCTCAACATTTCTTTATAACTAATTTTACTTTGATTAATATTTTATTATATATGTATATACTAATGGATTATATATGACACGATAAAAAAAATTATTATGTCTGTTATATACTTATATTATTCAAAATCAAAATAGAATCTGTGTTAATGATTTATAGATTTACTTATTAAAAACAGGAAATAAATAAAAGCACATTATCTCTTTTAAATCCTTGTAAATATGATATTAAATATATTCCATATTCAATCAAATAGATTTTGTATATGTATGTAATTTAGTGTACATGGATGTAAAAGAGTACGAATTATATGCTTTTATTTATGTAAAAATCAAATACTCTAAGTTTTTATCTAAAATATTTGTTTATTATATCAAAAATAATATTGCAAATAAATCAAAAGAAATAAGATTTGAAGTAGCTTTAACATAAAGTACTTAGTATCATAATCTATAAATATTTATATAATACAAACAAGATACCGTGTTTAAAATTGAGAACCTTTTAATTTATAAGCTATAGGTAAATTTAATAAAAATATATATATATATATATATATATATATATATATATATATATATACATATATTATAATGTTATAAAATATCCACAGTTTTCTCAGAGTTAAAACAAAAAAGAACAATTATTTCTATTTTTGTATGTTCATATTTATAACAAATATGATTGTTTTTGTTTTTTAATAAATAAATCTTTAATATTACTAATTGGTTAGTTTTAAGATTTATTTACCTAATTCATTAAATATGAAATCATCCTAATTTTCCTTGAGAAATTTGCATTTAAAAACAAAAATAATGTTAATAAGATAAGAAATAAAATTTGTTTAAATATATTGTTTTTATTTTTAAAATACAGAAGAGTAACTTCGCATGAATTATTATCTATGATTCCAGCGCTATCTCTTAAAAACAAATTTAAATACCCTTTTGTCTGCCTCCAGAAATGCATATGAAAATAAAAAAAATTTGTATTTAAAAAAAGTTTCATTCTAAAAAAATCGACATTAAATCCATCGATGATCACCTTTAACAAAAAGAAAACTATTTTAATAATCTACACTTTACAATAACATTAACAAATAAATGACGAGCAAAAAAAAATTACAATAAAATATAAAATATGACTAAAGAGTTATTCTCTAAAAGTTCGAACTTGCTGTTGAACCTTTGAAAATCACTCAATAGCCTGTAGTTGCCCTCTTGAGCCATAATTAAGTGGGGGTCTCTTCGGCATTAAGCCTCTTCTTTCTTTATTCCATGAAAACTGCATTTGGACATTTCCTACTTGCAAGCAAAATAAGATCTTTTATACTAATTTTTCAAATGAACTCGTATTTTTTTATTATTCTAATTCTCAATTATTACAAAATTAATTTACATTTCGCGTTCACTTTTCTAACTCGTGGACCATCAATGAACTTAGAGTTCATTGACCATACATGAGAACATTTAATCGAATGTCCATGCATATTATAATTTCCCTCGATGACCTAATAACACTTCGCACTTTTAACGTCGAGTAATAAAATCGAACTGAAATAAATGTAATGCATTTTCTAGCAATACCTTCATTTCATTAATTCTTTATATTTAGTTATATCAAATATTTCTAGCTGTAGAACGAAATCGCGTTAGTGCATATTGCTAATCCCGAAATACTTAAAACTAAGTATCAAATGCATCAAAGAATTTGCGAATATGATTCGACTTTATCTCGTTCGAGATAAAATCGAAGTAGAAATGAATTTTTCAAATGGTTGTAAATATCTTTGAATCATGATACATAATAAAGATCACAGAATAGTTACAATATAAATTAACAAATCAAGCATAATAGAATGAGATGATCAAATTTTGTAACAATTCTGTATAAACCAGGAGGCGGAATTTCCACTCCGGAGTGGAAGCAAGAAGTCTAATGCTTTCCCTGGATCCTACCTACTTAAAATTAAAGTTTTCACATTCATTCAGAGAAGTATGCTACCTGCCTGCCTGCCTATTATCCATATTTTTACCAGTTTTAAGAAAAAACATACATACCCACCCACTCACTCCACGGTTCTCACACATACCACAAGGGTGCAAAAGCCTAAACTAGAGAGCATGCCCCAGGGCACCTTCGACACCCTAGTTCAACCGCGTATTTCTAACCTTATATTCTATAAGGTTACGTACCAGTTCCTGTAATCGTATGCCAAGACTAGTGATTTTTGCAAATAAAACTACTGCAAAAATATAAGTATACTCTAGTATATATGCATACTAGTTATATACGTGTATGTTTCTACAAATAAATGTGGGTGACTCTACTATGCAAAACGATTATTAAAAAAAAAAAAATTCGAATCGTATGCGTGACTCTATGAGTTATTTTTTTTTTAATAACTTTTCAAAAATGCGCGGTATTACGTATCACGAACGATGTACAATGCACCACCTACTACGCACAAACAGGTGCACACCGTGCACATTGCACACCGTGCAATCATTAGCCAATGACAGCCGCCAAAGGAAAACTTAAAAACTATAACCCATGTAAACTGTTTCTCACCTATACGTGTAACACCTGGACACTCGCATAGATGAGAACGCAGAAAGTATGGGGTGGAGAAACGGAAGATTAGTATATTAGAAGCTGAAAATCCTGATCTAAAAAATATGATTAAGACAAAAATACATAAATACATTTGTATAAAAATTCATTTAAGTGACTAAGGACTCTACAAGTTACTTCATAAATAATGACTTTAAATATTTTTTAATATATTTAATTAATATATTTAATTCAAAATTATTATTATCAAATCCTCGGACGACTCCTTTCATTAAGTCGGCTGTTCTAATTAAAGAACTGGGCTTTGAGCCGCCACTTAACTGCCAAAGTCTATCCGTCGCGAATGGTTTGTCTTCTTGCTCATTTATTTAAAATATCGAAATATCGACTTCATTACCTATATGTACGATTGCAATGATCTTCTGAAAAATAAAAAGAAAAAGAACAAATAATGTCATTGTCGTAATAAAAACCTATTGAAATTATCATAGAAATGTTTGATAGTAAAACATACTTACTTTTAGTCTTGATTGATGACTTCAGGATGGGTATCCTACCATCGACCCATTTTTTAACTTCTTCGTAAGAATGAAAACGCTGGTCAGCTAAGCCATGTGCCATCGAACGGAATAGGTGAAAATCGGAAGAGACTATGTCAAGTGAATACTGCGGGTGGGGTAGAGCTTCCCATCGAAGCGTTTCAAGGTAGGTTTTCACTGGTTTTGCAACATGAGGCCGGGCGTTGTCAAGTAACAAAATCACTGTGTCGTGTCTCTTCCGTATAGCGGCCGTTTTTCTTTTAGGGCTCGACTCAAACGCATCAATTGAAGTCGATAGCGATCCCCCGTGATAGTCTCATTCGGTTTGAGCAGC